CTGCCTCCCCCCGGCCTCCAGCCTCTTTTACATTATGGCTTGATTCTTATGGAAGGTCAGGGAGGCGCCATGGGCTCCAGCGCCCTGCCCGAGTCCCGGCGCCAGGGGGCCGCAGCTAGCGCGACGCCCCGCCTCCCAGTGGCGCAAGCGGGCGCTGGCGAGAGCGGTCCGCGAGGGCTGGAGGCGGCGGCGGCTCCGCCCTGCCTGTCCCCCGCTGCAGACGAGTAGCCGCAGCCAAGAGGTTTCGTGCGTCCCGCCGCCTCCGAGTGACCCCGGGCAGCGCGGTTCCTGCCCTTCCACTGCTGCGCCTCCCTCGCCCGGAGACGCGCGAGAGGAGGGGCCCCTAGAGACCGGGCCACCTGCCCCGCCGCAGCCCGGAGAGCCCAGCCCAGCGCGGCTCGTTGCTCCTGCGGGAGGAGCAGAGACGCCCCGTGGGGGCGCCCCCGCGGCGCTCGCCTCTTGCTTGGCTGTCGCTGCTCGCCACCTCCCGGCGTGGGACTCGGGCGGGAGGCGCAACCCGCCAAAGGGCCGAGGGCGTCGTTTCCCCGGCTGCGGCGAGCGGACCATGGCCGGCTGCTGCTTATCCGCGGAGGAGAGAGAGTCGCTGCGGATCAGCGCGGAGATTGAGCGGCAGCTGCGCAAGGACGCGCGCAAGGAGCTCAAGCTGCTGCTGCTGGGTGAGTGACCATCTCCGCTGCCCTCTGCTGCCTCGCCCGGGGGCTCCGCACCAGGCCTGCGGACGGGGAAGCTGAGCCCAGCGGAGGGCTCCGAGGGTGCGCGGCCCTCCAGCCATCCCCCTGCTTTGCTGCGGCGCTGCCGGGGTTGCATAATGGGACCCGGCCGGAGCCCTTCTTTGGGGGGCGGTGACTGGGCTGGGAGGGAGGTGGGAGCTGGCTCCTGCAGAAGCACAAGACTTGCCAGCGCCCCCGAGGTTCTGTTTCAATCCCGTTTTAATCCGAATGTCCAACTTTGACCCGTTATTTCTCAGTCCGTCTCTGTGACCGTGCGTGTGTCTGTCAGCCATTAACAGCACTTGGCCTGGAGCTGCGCCATTCATTGCCAGCGACCTTCCCCCTGGCAGGGTTCTGCTTGAGGGTGCCATTTGGTCTGGTGCCCTGGCAATTGCCAGGCAGCTTCTGCCTGCATTTACAGAAGCAGAACAGAGACTTGGCCCACCAGGACAGTCCTGCTGTTGGTGGGAAGGACAGTGAGGTTGTGAGTAAGTCATGGAAGAAACACTGGCATTTTGGCTACCGTTCTGCTTGCTAAGAGCAGCTCTAGATAAAATGCCCAGAGCTGTGTGGCAAGGCAAATGTCTTTCGGGGCTCAGCGCTGCTTGAGTATTCACCATTCACTGGCCGGGCTTGGGGCCTCGCAGGCCTGATTGGTGCAGACACTGGCGAAATGGCCTTGTTCATACAGCAAAATGCTAGCATACGCTAAGCCTGACTTGTGGCTTCTGCTGCTGCTCCTGTGTGGAGCTTCCCTTAGAGGTGGATGACAGGACTGAGTTTCCTTGTGCCTGCCAGGCCACAGGTGTGTCTCTCCTGATTTATTTTTTTCTTCAGCTTTTGTTTTACAAGAAAAGCCACCTTGACTGCCACGGTAACAGGAATGTGCAATGTTCTGTTGCGTCAGTTACTCTCAAATTTTCTTTTTTAGGAAGTGCGACCACAGAAAATAAAATCCCTTAATGCCGTGTTTCTCAAACTGGAGGTCCTGACCCCCTGGGGGGTTGTAGCAACTTAGAGGGGGGGTCTCAAGCAACTTAGAGGGGGGTCGGTATCACAGAGTTTGAGAACCCCTGCCTTAACGCAATATGAAAGTCAGCCCTTGGTGCAGAAAAGAGCCATTGCTTCTGATGTATCCTTGAGATATCCGTCATTCTTGCACTTTGCAAACACTTGAATAGTATCATGTCAATAAAATACCTGTGAAGAACAGGGAGAGTGAGTGGTTGCCTAACCCAGTCTGTATGTAAACATTATTCTGGAGAGATGCTTGGAGCACTTTCCTGTTGAAATTGTGTTGATTGCAGTCATGCGGAAGAGCCAGACAACAGTGGGTTTTCTTGTTCTGGACACTGCACTGAGAAGTAGTTGGTTTCTGCTGCAAAAAAATGTACAGTCTAAATAGACAAGATGGATGGGAGAAGAGGTTGAACACACTAGCACAGTGAACAGTGTGATGGTAGCAAACAACATGTTATTCCATGGGTTTTTCTGGGGGGATGATGGTTAGTTAGGAAAGGATCAGCTAAATAGAAATAAAAGGGAAGAGAAGAATGAAGGGGGAAAGGATGGGGAAAAGAGGGTTAGAGGAGATTGTGCCAACTTTACCTTCCCGCTCCCTCACAATCATCCAGTCAGCAGGGACTGGTCGTCTTTTTGTTGGAAGTTCTCTGAATATCCAGAGGGTCCTGGCTTTTGTCAGCTTCTTCACACAATGGTTAGAATCTCTTGGCTGGGTCTTCTCTTCAGTTTTCCCTCAAGGATGCATGGCTGGAGAAGGGGAGGCCCCGCTGGACCTAGTGCCAACAGAATACATGTGTGTTTGGTGAGGGAGGTGAGTTCTCCAGTGCATGGTTTTAAGTCTACTTCTTTCTGTCTACACTGAGGGTTTTTTTTTCTTAAAATTTGCCATGGCTGCATTAGTAGTTGTGCAGCTCCAGTGGTTGTAATATTGATGGGACTTCTAGTAGAGACAAGGAGCTGACAGCTGTAAGCCTTTTTACCAACTTGTTTAGATTTGCTCTGAGCAGGGATAAATGAACACTAGCAATTTGTCTTCATTTGAGCTTCCATTGCCCTCATGGTGATGTGTCGGGGTCACATTGCTGGTAGTATAAGAGTGGGAAGCTTTTAAGAACAGTAAGGGATTGTTTCACTCGTTAATTACCAAACTACCAAGAGAATGGTGGATTCTCTATTTCTTGAAGACTTCAAATAAATAACGAATGCCTTTCTGGAATACAAGGTTTAGTAAAACAAGTTTATTGGGTTAAATGCATGGGTATATGAGTGCAATGTAATGGCCTGTGTTTATACAGGACGTCTGACTGATCTAAAAATCCCTTCTAATGTTCAGCTCTATGGATCTGCGAAAAGAATGCTCATTATAGAAAAAACTTTAAAACAACAAATAGCGTGGTAGCACTTCAAAGATTAACAAAACATGTAGATGGTATTGTGAGCTTTCATGGGCACAGTCCGCTTCTTCAGATGCAAATGGTCTAAATTGCGGGTGGCTTGCACATTATCAGCCAGTTTAGACCATTTGCATCCGATATCTAAATCCCGATATCCAATATCTGGCTCGCACATTATCAGCAAACCAAACAGTGAAGGTGCCAGTGGTTCTTGATGTGTGTAGAATCTGGTGTTAGTACTCTTCCTTTCCTAGTGCAAACTAATAGTTCTTATCAGCTTCTTTTAACTATTTAGTCTTTAAGGTGCTAGTACACTATTTAAGTTTTTCCTGTTACAGACTGGCTCCGCTATCCCTTTGGGACTTCCAACACTCCCGATTATCTGAAGAAGTGGACTGTGCCTACAAAAGCTCATGATACTATCTACATGTTTTGTTAGTCTTTAAAGTGCTACCAGACTCTTTGTTTTTTAAGTTTTTCCTGTTACAGACTACTATAGACACAGTTTTTAAGTGTAGTGCACTGAGATAGGTAAGAGTAATGTTAGTACTTTACCCCAAAATTTGATCTCTGTTGCCACAGCCTTTGTCTTCATTACTTCAGAATGAGGGAGATTTAAACAGAGAAAAATATTTCATCTGATATTTAACCTTATAAAAATGAGTGAGTCTGCCTTTTCAGTGAGTGAGGCTTGGCAGGTTTACCTCTGCTTCTTCCTGTGGAGATGTGTAAAGAAAGAACAGATAACAAAAATATCCCTCATTTGTCATGTACATGCCAAACTAAACTTTTTGCTGTCCCAAGCAATGTCTGTGTACAAGAAAAGAAAAGAAAAATCTTAGATAGCAAGTGTGTGTGTGTATGTGTGTGTGTGTGTGTGTGTGTGTGAGAGAGAGAGAGAAATGAAAAAAAACCCATAGGTTAAAATAAAGTCTCTATCTCTGTTGCAAACAACATCTCTGATAAAGAAGATTATGGAATAGCCTAAAAATTTAATTTAGTTATGGTGTTTATTTTATATTTTCTAAGTCAGATTTTTCCACTTTAACAAGAGCTTGCCTCACCTGTTGCTTTGAAAGACCCTCAGCAAAAGAACCCAACAGGATATAGAGGAAAATAGTATCAAAATATTAATGGTGTGGCTTTTTTCAACAGTGCTCACCGCTGGCTTGAGTTCACTCAAAGTAGAGAAAGTTTAAACTAATGTGAGATTTTCAAAACCAGACAAACTGAAAAAAATTGAAATGTTCTTCTAGCCTTGGTTGTTGTAATTGTAGTCACTATAACTATAAGGTAAACATTTTCAGACAAATAACAAGAGATGTGATTTTTAGTTGACTAATATTCAGGATATTTCTTTATTTTCAGAAGAACATAAGCACTGTGTACATATTTTACCATCTAGGCCCATTTTTACTGTATAGGCCCAGTCAAGCTGTCCTGCAGTGGCTCAACAGCGTGAGCACCAATCTAAGAAGCAGGGCACAATCCCCAAATTAGTTGTGAAATATATACTGGGATTTCACCAACCAATTATCAAACGTTAACTCATTGGGCACTATCACAGCCTCAATATAGAATTACAGACAGTCCCTTGTCACTCAGGTAAAACTGTGTTTATGATAGATGGTCCCTTACATCAAGAATCACAGCAATATTCAAGTTACTCCCAGTTGCTAAAGATGAGTCATTTACCCCAGATCAGTTGCACCTTAGACTGCACACCAACACAATACGATAGCCTCTCCTATAATAAACTATACATAGAAATATTAAAAAGGAAAGGAGTTCTTTACAAGGTTAAGGCGGATGTATATGATGCGTTACGATCTTAAGTTTCAAATAATAAGTTTCTAAAATAAGCAATCTGTATACGTCCTATATGGCTAACCCAGGCTGAGCCCTGGAGAGCTCTTGCTTATGGCTAGAAAACCTTGCCCCTAGAGTCCAAGCAGTTACAGATAGGGATGTGAGTGTTTATGGTTAACCAGCAGGGGGGGTGTTACAGACTGGCTGGAACAAGTCCTGCCTGCAGCGGGAGTGGTCCAGCATGCCATTACCTAGGGATGTGAATGGTTGAGCCAGGGGTGGACACAGGGGTCTCCGTGGCCTGGATCTGACCCGCGGATACCTGCTGTTTCCCTCCCCCTTGGCCAGTTAGGGCCTTGGGGTAGGGGAGAGTATGTGAAGTGTTCTCCCGCAGCCAGTGGTGTGGGTGCTGAGAGGAAACCACCAGCTGTTCAGAACAGCGGATTGCTCTCTCTAGGTGGGGGGAGGGCGGGGCAAAGACTTCATGTGCTCCCCCACCTTCAGGCCAATCAGGATTGTGGGCAGGGAAGCATGAAGTGTCCTGGCCCTGCCCCTTCGGGGGTGGCCCAGGGCCACTTAAAAAATTAGGGAAGTGGCCCCCTGTTTGCTGGACATGGGGAGGCAATTATTGCCCACCCTTGGGCTAAGTAGTTCTCTGGGAGCAGCCCCATGTCCACGGTCCTGCTGGCCACAGCATGGGGCCATCAACCAGCAGCCCAA